TTTACCTTATACCTTAAAGTAGCAGTAGGGAAATGCTACTAGACATCTTTAGCATATAGACATATCTATCAGTTATTTTTACAGTTAACAATAGCTTCCAGAAGTACAATGTTTAGTGGAAGTATTTGGGACTACCATATCTAATTAGAAGTCATAGGGTATTATTATTAATAAAATGAAGTAGAAAAAAGATAAAAACGAATACTTATTTAATATCTACAAAGATGACAACTGTTATATTACACCATTTTAAATGCATTATTGTAATTTAATACCTTGCATCATTTTGGGCAAGTCTATTACATTTATCTCAGTATTTCCATTTTTAAAGTAGACATAACAATAGTAGCTGCTGCATACAATTGTTTTGAAAACTAAGTAATCAAAAATATTCCTAAATCAGCTTCAGAAATATATAACAGTTTTTATTATTGGCTATTATTATCTCAATTATCATAAACAACAATTTTAAGAGAAAGACATTAATGAATTTAGCATATGAGAAAACTGAGCTTTGAACAAGTTAATCTGCCTTCAATTTCCTAGAAGTAGAGCTGATATTTGAATTCAGATCTGCTTGACTTTACAGTGCAAGCTTTTCCACTGCACCATAATTTATTCCAAAGTTTTTGGACAATACATCACATAGGAATATATTATATCTCCTATGTATAGAATTGCTTCATAAAAATTATAAAAAGAGCTTGGAATGACATAAAATATAACCATAAAATGTGATCTTAGAAGTATATTTTGTTCAATTTAGTATAAATATATCAAGTATATGGGCTTCTATTATTCAGCTTTGTAAGCAATTTCCTACTGTTGAATTATCCTATGTATGACAAACAAGGTTTAGTATACTCAATGGTTTATTATAATTATTTTGTTTTGTTATAAGCATTATATTTCACTCTAAACAATTCTAGAAATATAAAAAATACTGAGTCTATTCTAGTATAAATATTCTAGAGTATTAGTATATAACACTTTGTCAATGTTTTCTAGAGACTACTGTGCAGTTTAAAAATAAGTATAATGTTTAAATGATTTATGTAACTGATCAAATTTTTATTCAGAAGATTATTATACATAGTGTTTTCCTGTGCATTTATTATAATGTAAGAGAGTTTTCCTAATTGTTAAAATGTCTGATGTTAACTTTTCGGTGAAGTTGTTAAATGTTAAGTTCTCACCAATTTTCACAAGAATAACAATTCTGTTTTCTTGCCAGAACTTACATACTGCTCCTGGTACTATGTTCATAATTTAGGTAAGTCAATTTTGATTTAGCTGAGTTATTCCTGTAACGTATGTAAACAAAATAAACTTTACTAAACCCACTAATTCATTTTCCTTTTTACTAGACCTCAGCAGAAATCTAAGTTGATCAAACTTCATTTTGTGGAATTCATATCCATTGACAATAATTTAAAGTTGCTTTATTTCATTCACTCTATCATAAACCCCCTCAAAATACATATAATCCACAAAAGATTTTTTTTTTGTCTGTAGATCAAACTAATTACTGACAAGTACTGGCTATTAAATATTAGTAATGTAAGGGTAAGTTTTATATAAATTTACATTTGTGTAGTTAATAATTGTGTTTTCTATCAAGAACTTCTGGCCTTGTTAAAAATCCCTGTTGTAGTCCTAACTGGTACACAGGTAAATGTGTCTTGAAGCAGTTTCCTCTCCTTTAGGTACAGCTGTTAAAGACACATAAGTTAGAGAAAACTACTATGTAGTTCAAGTCCATAATTATATTTCTCAATTCCTATCTGACATGCCACTATTATATTTTCAGTACTATAAGAATCACAAATTATTAAGTGTAAAAAGGAAATGGGAATTGGGTAGAATTATTTTTCGTGGTCCTTATTGCTTTTGTACTTTTTTATTTTGAAAAGGTGTAACACTTTTATAAATTTTTAGCATGTAAAAAATGAAAAGTAAACCTATTAAAGATAAAGTTATTAACAAATAAATTGCCTTTTTGAAAAACAGACATAAAAGACAAATTTATGCACACTTTCAATTTTTAAAATTCACAGTATAACTTTAGCCATGGAATTGCTATAGCCATATAAAAGTATCTGCACGAGATACTATAAGAGCATCTCTATGGTTTTCAAGTAATTGAAAAACTTTTAAGAAAAAAAAGGCTGCTCAGTTTCTGATATAATAAAACATACAATATTATGGACATAGACTCTTGCCAACTAACAGTAGAAAAAACTACTAGAAGACAAAAATTCAAGGTATCTGATTTATATGTAGATGGAAAAGATCAACTATAAAGCTTAATCAAAATTAAGAAGATAATTAAACAAGATTGTAAAGAATCTTTAAAAGTAGTATGTGAGACAGTGTTTGTCCACTTGATAGTTACATAGCAATTAATAAAAAATAACCCCATAAGTTCATTCTAAAATGCCAGGAATAGTTATTGTTGAGTGATCATAACCATCTTGGTAAGTAGGTACTTTTATTTCCATCCTTTTAAGGAAACTAAGGCACAGCGTGGTTAAATGACAAATCTATTATAGTATAACACCAACATATATGTGGTTTTTGTTGCTGGTTTCTGACACAGAATTCCTTAAATCCTTGGGGTTTCCTGAGTGATAAGAGTAACTTTTATCATCTTTGACAAATGCCTTAAAATCACAAGGGATCCCTAGATAGCCTTAGGATAGTGTAGATAATAAATACACCAAGTGGGGTCAAGTTTGAAATTTTTAGCCCCATTCACTGAAGGAGTAAGCATGGAGACTAAGCTCTATAGGAAAGTCATAAATAGTAAGATTCACAGAGCTCACTAACTGGTGAACACGTCTAAAAGGGGCAAAGAACCTTCACAAATTTTCCCTCCCACACCTTGCCCTTTACATCCACTTGGCTTCATTTGGCAGTTCCTCTGGTATAGCCTGATAGTAAACTGGTAGTAAGGTAAAGTATGTCCTAGAGTTTTGTGAGCCTTTCTATCCTAATTATTGAATCTGATGGTGGGGAGTTGTGTGAAACCTACTGACTTTGTAGCAAAGTAAAACAGAAACATGGGTAACTTGTAGACTCAACACTTGGACTGGAATCTGAAGTGAACATAGCCTTTACATCTGTGGATTATGACCTAACTCTAGCTAGGTAGAGTCAGAATTCAACTGAAATGTAGTGAAGGGCATCTGGTGTCTGGAGAAGTTGAAGAAATGATTGGTGTAAGAAAAATTTCCATACTTTCTTATTATTAATGTGAATAAAAATGGCCTATAGTCATTTTGTTAATTGGTAGCAGAGCCAGAATTCAAAGATTTAAATGTTTAGCTTAGAATTTTGGAATTAACTTGAAGAAAACAAGATACAAGATACTCTTTAATGTCAATTATTTCTCAATGGTTGAAAATAATGTTGTTTATGAATGTGAAATCTATGGTAACATTTTTTTCTACTTTGTAGAAACAACTATGAAAATATCAAACTATCATATAAAAACTAGGCCTAAATAAACTGAATGAAGGTCATTAACACCCAAGCCCTCAAAATCTAGATGCATTTACATCTAGTCAGTTTCCTTACAAACAAAACAAAACAAAACAGAAATACATCTTTCTCAATTTCACTTTTTGAGTCATTCTACAGTATAAAAGAAATATAAAAATTTTCCAAAGGACCATTTCCCATTAGGAACCAGAAACTATATAAATTATGTAAAGATTGCCTTCTTGTTTATAACTCTCCCAGTACAATTCTCCTGATTGCTTTAAAAGAAAATCTATCTTATATCCCCAATGATAATATAAAATGTATGACATTTATAAAGAATAGTAAATATTTTATCCTTGTTTTAGAAAACTGCATTTTAATATACTAAAGCAGTGGTTCTCAAAGTTTACAAGTACTGCTCTAATCACTACCATCTGTACCGCCCACCAGGTGAGAAATACATTCTGGGATTCACTGCAGATGTGCTGAGGCAGAAATTGTAGGGGAGTTTAGCAATCTGTGTTCTAACAAGCCCTCTGGCTGGTACTGCTGCAAACTAAAATTTCAAAACCACTGTAATAACAAAAGGACAGTAATAATTTAATGAATTATTAATGGAAAAGTACCTTGCTGTTAATCAGACAGTTGAAATAGTTTACTGATTTAAAATAGAACACAGTTAGGCCAGGGCTGCTTGCCTTGCAAGAGCAAAGTCCTGAGCTCTATTCCCAGTATCCCACTCCCCCCAAAAAGGACCCAGTTAATATTAAGTTGAAATTGAGCCCAGAAATACCCTTTTTGAAAGGTAAAGCAAGTAACATTAATATAATGAGAATATAAGTTTCTACATGATTAAAGTGACATCTGAAGTTATGTTCTTAAAGAACTTAAAAATAAAGATCTTTTCCTCCTGTATTAGTGAACATTACTTACTTTTCTTTTCCTAGTTTTTCTTCCTGTACAAAGGTTGAAGATGCTTTATGTGGCATAAAGTCTAGATAATAATTCTGCTTTTGGTTTATTAAATTTCACAATTATATAAAGATCACATTGAAAATTACAGAAAAGATAATACTTTTATCATTAATAGTATAATAAAACTGGTATGAATATTCTATTGCAGTTATCCCATTGTACTGTGAAGCAAATGACATGGGTACCTCAAGTAAAGGAAGTCAGATCCTATTTTGAATTGCAGTGAAAAACACATCAGACCAGATTCCAGGCTAACAGTCATGTTAATGTGCCTGAAGGTCAGCTGATACTGAAGATGACCAAGCAAACTGATTAACTTCTAAAATAGCCAACTCTTCCTCATATTCTATCACTTCCAGTTTAGGTCCAAAATTAAGAAATATTTTTATAATAATTCTTCCACAGCCAAATTTTCATAATCTTATAACCACAAGTCACTGGTTTTGCCTAGAAAAATTATAAAACTATAAAATAGTAAAAAAGATTGAAAATAATATTACTTTATTCCTTGAATATGAGAAAGGCATACACTATCTCACCTCTGGAGTGACATCTCGTGGTGCAAACCCTGTTCCTCCAGTTGTTAATATCAAATTAAGTTCCTTTTCATCACACCAATCTATCAGAGTTTCCTGAAAGAAAACAACAGTATTGTCACATGGAGAAGGACTTGCTTGCTTGCTCCGAACATCCAAGTCGTCATACATTTAGAAATGAGGAAACAGATTCTTTTTCAACAATAAGCAAAAAAAATTTTAAAGACAATTCTTAGAAAATTTTCATAATTAAAAAGCACTGAAAAGTGAGATATAAGCATCAAATTATTGAAAGGAAATGAAACACATGAAATATCATAAAGAGTTTATAAGTAATTATTATTATAGTATTATATGGTGTATCTTAAGTTCTTTTCAACCATACAAAATATATTTAAGTTTAAAAAGTTGACTACTGTGATAATTATATGATTTTATCATTTAATAATTATGTCAATCCTACCAGCTGAGTATTGATAATTTAATTTTATATATAAAGTAAACAGAATTGCAGAATCATTCTTTTTGAAAAATTAACAGACTCAGAAAGGTCAAAAACTTTCTCATAGGCTTACAAACTAAAAGGAAGAAGAGCTACAATTCAAATCAGGTCCGCCAGACCTGGAATTTATGTTCCCTTACATTTTGCTGTTATTAATTCAGTATTTTATGTTCAATTTGAGGTTAAGAAAGCTTTATACTTTTCATTGTTAATTTATTAAATTAATTTATTAATTAATGGGATTCTTAAAAGCAAGGGATAAAAATAATTTCTTAAGGTTTATTGTTTGCTAAATGAATACTCTGACACTTATTTTTAGATTAAGAATATAGATGAAGGGCCGGGGAGTTCGATCCCTGGTACCAAAAAAAAAAAGAAGAAGAATGTAGATGATAAAATTTTGGAGCTAACAGGATTTCTACCAGATTTTCCTATTCATTTGTAGGTGAGACAACTGTACAAAAGTAGAACTAAAATGTCTATCTGCTTACTTTTTGTATTTACTGCCAATTAAATTAATCCATCCTATATGTTAGCTACTTATTAAACGTGTTAACACTTATAGATTAAATGAAAAATTGACCCTGACTTCAAAGCTAATAGTAAAGTAACGGTGTTTATCCATAGCTACAAACTGGAATCATTTATGCGGCTTAAAAAAAACTTGGGCCAGGCCTGGCAGCATGCATTTGTAATTATAGCACTCAGGGAGGCTGAGGAAGGGAATACAAATTTTGAGCCTCGCCTGATCAAGGTGAGACCTTTTCTCAAAAAGTAAATTCCCAGTAGCAGCAAAAAACAAAAACAAAAACTTAGGGTCCTATTTCTGGATTATAGTCTAAATAAATTGTGTGCATGACTGAACCCACATGATAAACTTACACTGTACATTGAGCTAGAGCCACAGGTCCAGAGTACTAGAACTCTAAAAATCTTGTAATTTTAAAATGCAGCCAAACAACTGAAAAAGTACAAGCCTTTAAAGAGGCAATCAATCAGTACAGTTACTTGAAGGGTAAATTCACAAGTAAATCAATGGCTGGGCCCACAAAGATGACAGACACCTTAAAGTCAGTTTTATCATGTAAACTTACTCCCATTTCCCTTTTCCCAGGATGAATAACTGTTAACACCATATAGATTTCTTTCACTTAAATAATGTTATTATGAGCTCAAATAGGATTTGTTTGACTATTTGGGAAGTAATGTTTTATTGTCCAAAGTAGCTATGATGCACAGAAAATTTTTTTATCAGAATAAAGATCCTTTAGATCTTTAAAACAAACTAGTATAATCATATCACCCCACTACTCAGTTGATTTCCAGAACTTAGGGATTTTTCCTCAACCACTAATACAAACAAAATACCAATTCTCCAGGTCCCTAATATTTAACAAGAAAATTATTTCAAGGAATACATTTATTGTTACTTCACTAGAAATCAGCAATACAAAGATAAAAAAGGCACAGTGCATTTTCTCAAGTCCTCAAGTTGCAGAACTCTGAGTGAATTGTTTTCTAGAACTTTGTTACTACAAGTGTGATCTCAACATCAAAACATTACTATTATCTATGAACCTGTTAGGAATAATGAATCTCAGGATCCATCCAAGATCTCCTGAATCAGAATCTACATTTTTAGAAAGATTGGTCAAGGTGATATATGTGCACATTAAGTGGGACTAAATATACTTTCTAATCATGTACCACTCCTGTGATCGTAGCTAATTATTTTTATTAGTATCTGGTCTTATTTAATGTAGTAATTTATCTTAATTTGGTGAGAAAGTAATTTATCATACTGTATTTGTTTATATACTTGTAAGATCTCCTTCATACTGAATTTTAAAATATTCAGCTGCTTCTACTAGGAAGGATGCCATTGAAATTTTTGCATGACATGTCTTTATGAAATTTTCCTTTGTGTATCTGCTTAAAAACTGAGGCTGAGAACATTGTTCATTGATTAATTTTCTCTTCTGTGGAACATAATTCTTTAAGAATTTATCGCCTTCAGTTTCCAGGATATTACAAGAGAACAAGTGTACTGCAGAATTCTTCCTTCTCTACACAACTAATAAAATGAACAAAAAGCAAACAAAATAAAAACAAACAAAAACCTGCTACCAGCAATGACCAAATAAATTAAAAAGAGATCTAGCCTCATGTCATAGATCTCAAAAGTTGGATGATCAAGGGCAGATATAAAAGATGTTTTAGAAGCATAATGCAGCATTGTGTGGTTCCTCATGCTGCTCTGGACCCCAAATGAGTCATAAAGGTAGAGTACCAAAATCATAGAAATTCTATGACTATCAGCAAACTGAAGATAGCTTATCTTTTTTTGTCTTACAAGCAGCTGCTTTGAGAAACAGATACTATAAGGGACTGACTGCAATCAAGACAGTTCAGAAGCAAGGCACACTGAATTGTGGAAATCATCTGAACCCAATGGCACTATCTGCATAATCATGAGATAAATTCTTCAAAACTCTAGTACTGGACAATTAATACAATTTCAAGGGGGAAGAGCAGCACAGTATCCCAACAAATTGTTTCTGGTTTCTTATTTTCCCGTACAAGATATTACATACTTTAGGCTTTTGATTGTTCTTCCTACATTTCTGTAATGGCTTTGAATGAAGCTTGAGTTTGAAGATTGGATATTGTTCTATTAGTTTCTTGTTTCTAATAATCATATGCAGAAACTTGAAGGTAAGGAGAGGAAAGGTGGAAAGAAGTATTATAGTACTAATATTGTTACATTTCATAACATGATTTAACCAATTCTATATATTGTTTAAAAAGTGTTAGCTAAACATATGACTGAAACCTCATAATGATTTTCCTAATTCTTAAACATTAGATGGATATTTATTTACCATATAATATCTTACAATAAAATAGTTACTTCAAAGTAAATATGCTCATTTCTTTTAGTAAGATTGTTCAAAGACTGCACGAACCATTAAAGACTTTGGAATTTTTTGGTTTTTTGAGACAGGGTCTCACTATGTAGTTGAGACTGACCTGGAATTCACTATGGAGCCTAGGCTGGTCTCAAACACACAGTGATCCTCCTGTCTCAGCCTCTGGAGGGCTGGGATTATAGGCATATGCCACTATGACCAGCAAGACTTCAGAATTTTAAAAATCATACAAAAGGAAATGAGACATACTATCTTAAGTTGTCTTTAGCAGAAATCCTTATGAAACTACCCAACAGAAGAAAATCAATTTGAAGCTTTGTTCAAGTGATAAGGAAAACTTTAATAGCGAAAACTTAGAAAATGTCACAAAGTAAAATAACTTCTGCCCTTTACTCTGCTTAGTTCGGAATTAACTGTTAGAGGAGGCACCTAGTCTCCCATAAAAGTTTTGTAAGTGCAAAGAATCATTGTTAGCTTTGTTGACCAAACAAGCTCCCTTTCCCCTGGCTAGAATAGGTAACTGAATAAATCTTAAAGGTAACTTCCCTGACAAAGAAGGAGTTGTAACCCAATGGGGGGCTGATCAGGGCATTGCCCTTAGGTGTCATAGAGCCCCATTGATGGAGTAAACTTTTTTTATTTTACTTCCATTCTGCTGCCTCTGTGTGTGTGCCACTTGCCAATTCCTTCTGTAACAGGAGCAGGTATGTATTTACTGCCTAGGAAATGGGAACAGCTAAGATATGGAAGACAGACAATGAAACAGCCTTTCATCAAAATTCCTCTTAGAATTCTAGGATGTTTGCTGTTTACAAAAAAATAAAAACAAAATTATGCAAAACTGAGAATAATTCAGCAATTGGTATTCAGTATTAGTCAATAAAAACTAAGCTTTGAAAGCAGGAGAAAAAAACATGTATCTGTTAGGGACCTGAAGCTGCCATCACAGGCTGCATTTTCGTGGTGCTTCATGGCTCTTAAAGACCTCATGCTCTTATCTTTAGCCCCCCCCCACAAGGCCACAGTGGTCTGGAGAGGTTAAACCTGTTTCTCCAGGACCAAACCCATTAAGGGCATCCTGGCCTGTGATAGGTTAAAGGTAGCCCACTCCCCATAAATAAGCAATAGCCCAGCCCTAAAATAATAAAAGGACCTTCCTTTCTTTGTTCTTCTCTTCTTCCCTCTCTCCCCTCTTCCTAACCTGCCTTCCCTAATAAAATCTCCTGTTGGACCTCTTGGTGTGTGGCCTAGTTGTTGAGTATGTGTTGATTTGTTTAGTATTTTTTAGGTATTAAAGAAGTTATAAGATCTAAAAGCAAAAAGGATGATGAAAACTTCCTGTTGGGCTTTAATATTTACCAAATATTAATGGAAAAGTCTTGCTACTGGAAATATAACCTAGAGGGTATATCTTTTCAATGATTCATATAAAATTATCATGTTTATTAGATTTGTTACATGTGTGCTTTTTATTTGTAAATATTTTACATAGTTTATGAAGCACTGGCAAGTAATATTAGAGTAAAAAGTTGGAATGCTAAGAAGGCAACATAAATGTTTAATAGTATAAGTATTTATTTTTTTCTATCACTACTGGCACTGTCTCCATTATCCCCACTTCATATACCTTGCCAACATATTTTGTTCTTTAATGACACAAATTT